AGAAAGTTAACTGCCTGGAGTCTTTTAAATATAAGTAACACGCACCCAGTAATAAGCTGTCGGTTGTTTTTTTGCTGCCTGCAAAGAAACATAAACACAGCGCTCATTTCTGGCAGGTTTTTACTGTCAGAGTTTCTCCTATTATATTTATCTTACAATTTGCCAGGGGGTGAAGTTATTAAGTTTTAGCAGCAGCCATCGATCAAGTTCACAAGTTAACACGATAAAGGCTCTGTGCCGCTCCGATCCGGGAAAATGATGATCCTCACTCGGTAATTAACTAAATGAGAAAGTTAAATCTTACTTGAGAGCTGGGAGAGATGAAAGAGAGGTGTTTGTCAGTTTCTCAGTGGAAATTAGAAGCAGTTTTCTGCAATTCCCTAAGCTGCTGCTCTGTCATATTTTACATAAGCACTGGGAAAACGTCTTGTAATTAGTGCTGTCATGGAGGATTTTTTTTGCTGAAGGATGTTGGAATAATTCATTAGATTATCAAGAAAGGCTTGTGTCCTGAAATGATTAGCACAGTGAAATTTAAACCATTAACGATAACAAGTTTAGAGCTTGCTGCAGTGCAGAGGCACCCAGGGTATGTCTGTGCCTATTTCAATCATTTCTTATAATTAAACATTATGTCCTCTTTTTTCCTCCCCTTCACTAAGATCCATCCAAAATTGCTGTTAAGGTGGCTCTGTCTAGATCAGTGACTTAACCATGACTGGTGGACAAGTTGGAGGTGAAATGCTGTGGCTGCAGATAAACAATAGAAGACATTTCTCTGTGTCAGAGTCAATGGTCCCAGTGAGTCCAGGAGGGAGGGGAGAAGCCCAGTATGACCTGTGGGTACTGGAACATCAAAGGGAAGTCCCTTCTTTTCATATAGAGAGAAACAGAAATTTGCAGTGGTGGTCTAAGCTCTCAGTCTTTTCAGAGCTTCAGCATGAAGATGTCTTGAAGGTTCAGAAGATCCCAAACCTTACTGAGATCATTTAAGCCATCCTCTATTCTAGAATACAGCTTCTCTTTAAGAGATGTCTTCTTAGCCATAAGAAACATATGATATAAATTCATCCACCCTTTGGAAAGTGCCTCAACAAAGTCCTCTGCAATGATTAGAGGACCTGGTATTGATTTTTAAAAATACATAACAGTTGTGAGTGCTTATGTGGGTGGGGAAACACTATACCTGTACTAGAATAAGAGAACTGTGCTTATTTGGGGGTTTTTTTCTGTGCTTTAGGAGGCTACTTGGTAGCCTGTACTGAACAACAACAAAAGTAACCTTGGTTGTCATATATGGGTTACAGCTGTGATATACTGTGGCTGTTTTGTTTTACATGCAGAACAGTAGATTTATCCAGGCTTTATTTATCTGTGCTGAAATATTGCACCTTCTTATAGTTCCAAGCCATTATTTAGATTAAAGTCCTCTCATATATTAGTCCTCTTCTACTTCACTGGGCATACAAATGTGCTTTGTGTTAAATGTAGCCATTTGGAGAAATGGTCTTGTAATTATGGGCTGCAATGGAGCATAGTACGTAGATCCCTGAGCTAGTACCAACCTGAGGCACTCAATCCCCTGGGTTTCCTGGCACAACGTACTAGCTTTGGCACACTGTGGTAGGAGGACACCTCTACTGTTCTTGCAGTTGTGCTGAGAGCCAGCTGGGAGACCACAAACCCTCATAGGTGTTTGTGAAAAGGGAGTCAGAAAAGCTTTATCTATTCTGAGTTACTAGTTTATTCTGTTACACCCAAACTTCCTCCCAGGTGGTGGACAACCAGTGCTTATTCTTTGTGGATTTTTGAAGTGAAGCTTATAAAAAGCATGTGGGACAGTTCTTTTGTTTTGAGGTGAGGCCTGGTTATTGAACCAGGAGAGGGTAGACAATTATATGCTCCAGGAAATTGTTGCTGTTATTGTGCTGAGGTTGTTTGTGGTGAACTTGACGCAGTTGATCAGAATGGTCAGGAAGCCAAATTGATTCTCTTACTGATAGTAACCACCCTCCCCCCAACGCTTTAATAATACAGATGCTTGATGTTGTTTTGTTGTTGCTTTTTTTAATAACAGGCCTGTTTCACTGAAACCCCAGTGGATTTTCAGGAATCATCAAATTGAAATTCTGGACTTCTGTTCTAAACTGTAGCTGCAGGTGGTCTTCAGGGGGCATGTGAGCACGTAAGGCGATGGAGTGATTTGGGAGCCCTGTGAGTTCATCTGTCTCTGCTGTGCAGAAGTGGTGTGTTTGTGGCTTGCCCTGTCCTCCTGGTTCCCTGCTTGCATAGACCACAGGACCTGCTGGGCACACCACGGCTACCTCTGGGCTTGTCCTTGCTCCTTTTAATGAGAAACCACAGCAGGCAAGGGTGCAAACTGGGTCTCAAGTTGACATTGTCAGAATGCGGCTGAAGTATATGCATGAGCCTAAAACATACAGCGTTCCCCTGTCCACTGATTTGGACATAAACACTGTAACATGTATAGTGCTTTTCTTAGCAGAACCACTAAATAAACCTGGAGTTGGACTTCAAAAGCTGTGACAAGTGTTGGTCAATGGACTTTTTAATTTACTCATTATTCCTGCCCAAGAGGCCTGTATTCACTTGGGATCTAGGCAAAATGGATTTTGTCCCATCTAAGCCATCTGTACACACATAAGCCATTACTTGTTTTTGCAGATGTTGCAACTTCTGTTTGATACTCCAAACTGATGTTTTAGAGGTAACTGGGGAGCTAAAGCCTGCTGGGAGAAGGGTGCTTAGGATGCAAGGAAAGGCCAGAACGTGGTGCCAACATGTGAAAGGAGTTGTCCCTTTTGTGGTCTTTGCACGTCAGGTGTCTACTCCACTACAGCTCAGCATATCAGTCAGGCTTTACAGTCTCTCAAATTAAAAGGCAGAGGTGTGGGTTTTCAGAAAATGCTTTGCAGTGACAGCCTGTTGTTAGATGCACAGCAAGCAAAATCAGAAATGAAATGAGATCAAGCTTGTAGAATACAATGTCTGTCCACTGTCTTAATCCAGCATTTTTACAGGGTTGTCTGTTTTGCAGGCAGCTTAACTGCAGCAAAATGACCAGAATCCCTTAAGACCCATGTTCAGTGCAGTCCATCAGTAATAATTTTTTTGCCAGGCTGTTGCCTACTGTGGACTCTGCTAGGGGAAGCTCAGCCTTTCACACATAGGACTTCATGCTGACAGTCCCTTTAGAGATTTCTCTCTATAAAAAGTTGACCCAAGAGAGAATATGTCTTTCCTGCTTCACGGTGGCTCTGTAACTTGCTTGCAGTCAGTGCTATCCATGTGATGTCTAGATGAAAGTGTAGCTCAGTCATAGCCCTTGTCTTGCATGATCTTACTGAACACACAGAGAAATTCACGAGAGGAGTGGGGATAAAAGTAAAGTTGAAAACATTGAGCTACAGAATTGAGTGCTGATGGTGTGATCTCCATGTTCTATGTTCTCAAAGAAACTTAAGTCAAACCATAATTCAGAAATAGAAGAAACAGCTTGTTAAAAATCACAGCTAATTGTAATTGTTGTCTTTTTCTACCAGAGGAAAATTCCCACTGCTGGAAATGCTGAAAAGAGTATTTAGGTGGATTTTCTCTAGAAAATTAAATGTACATTGTGATTAGTTGAGTAGATTTTCAAATTAATGAGGTTTTTGGTGTTCCAAACTCAGGATTGCTGTTAGGGTTGGGGGGTTATTCAAGTGCAGGAGTTATTTATCCCTGAGAAATGAGAAATTCCTGCATTCCAACCCCAGTTTTGGGAACTAGATTTTGTGGTATCTAAATAACCTGCTGTTTTGGCACTTGCTGAAAAAAGGCTTTTTTGTTGTTTTTTATTTTTTGTAAATTCAATTAATCCATGCATTCCTTCTACATCATTAGATAGATTTGCGAAGAGATTTAGGTACTTTTTTTTCCCCTAAAAGTTTCTGGAAGTCTCCTGGTGAGGTTGATGACTGGAATTAACATCATAGAACAGAAGTATGGCATCCTTACATCAATATTTTATGTATTCTGATACCTGTATCTTGTAATATCTGTTTATCTGTATCTGTAATTTGGTTTTAATTATTTGATTATTAATAGAGAACCTCTAAATGTATTTTGTAAATAAAACCCATGTAATAATATTGACTGTTACTAGAGTGCTGTCTGGTGTTAAACCATTGCAGTGAAAGGGAGAAAATCACGTTTTCAGCATTTAATACAAACTATTTGACGAGTATGGGGAAAAGTGGTTTCCCAGCAAACAGTTAATCTTACTTGGACAAAGGATACCCTTGCAATGCAAAATGTGCACTTTTCTTCCAGTTAAATCGTTTAGAAAGCAGAAATTATATCTTGCTATTGAGTACTAAATTGAAATGTCAGTGGTTTGTTTTGTCCCTGAAAATCTTCTTTGAGCCGAGTCCTTCTGACAAGATATTAACAGTGCTCAGAAAGTTGAAAATCTTCTATTCTGTGAAAGAAATATATACCAAATACAGGGGTGGGGTTTAGCTGGCTTTGCTCTCAAGATATAATTTTATACTCAAAAGAAGTACTTTTTTTTTTTTTTCTCACCCATTTCATGCATTCTATCTGAATTTTAGCAGCAGTCTGTTCTTTAGGAAAAAAAACAATACAAATGCAGTTTTCTGTTGGTGCACTGAAGTAACTGGTAACTGTAGATTAGGAATCCAGATGCATTTTACTGTCTGCACAATGTAAATAAAATTGTGTTTATGTTAAATTGCCACTCAGGGTTTCCCATCTAACCAAAGTCCCTTGTGTGCAGCCCATGCATTGTCCTGCAGGGTTACAGCTCGTGTTGGCTGCACTCCGACTGACAGCACCAAATGGAATATGTGGTCTCAGCCAACTTCATGTATCAGAGTGCTTTTTTCCTTTTATTTTCTTCCCCCTAAAGAAATTAGAAAACCACTTGAGCTGCTTTTCATATGTGTGATTTGGGTTGTTTCTCTCCTTCCTGTTTACAGACAAAACTTGCCAATGGCACTTCCAGTATGATCGTGCCCAAGCAAAGAAAACTGTCTGCAAGCTATGAGAAGGAGAAGGAACTCTGCGTCAAGTATTTTGAACAGTGGTCCGAGTCTGACCAGGTGGAGTTTGTGGAGCACCTCATCTCCCAGATGTGTCACTACCAGCATGGACATATAAACTCATACCTCAAACCCATGCTACAGCGGGACTTCATCACTGCACTGCCAGGTATTTCTGCAGGCAGAGGGAGCTTGCTTCTCCATCTTACCTTTCACAGGACTGTTCCATTCCGGCCTACCCTGCTGAAGAGTTTGCAAAATAGGAGATAGCTTTTGAATGAAAAACTCTATGCCTGTATGAAATGTAGTATTTTATTTTGTATTCCTACCATCTTAAAAGGCATGATCTGACACCACCAAGTTTTGGCTGAGAGTAAATGATAGCTCATATATGTATTGTAAGGATAGTCATTGAAGCCACAGGGCAGGTAATTGTACTCATGCTCACAACAATGCATGAATAACAACATTTTTTTTAAATTAAAACTACTACTCTTTCTTAGCTGAGGTTTTTTCTCTCTTTCTTAGTAAAATACATTCTTGAAGCCATCACTTTGATTATGTGTTTATTGCTAATAGAGAATGGAGGACATAAGATCAAAGGATAGAAATGGTCTATTTTTTGTACTTTTGTAGTGCTTTCCATTGAGAATAGTATCCCAGCTATTCTCAGATGTGGCATTGGGTGTATCTCACAGAATGCAGACATAAAGTAGTGTTGTAAGTGCATTTTATATTGGCCCTGTCTTATATTTTGTATTGGCCCTGGGAAAACTGGGGCAGTGGGAGATAAAATATATAGAGCAATAAACTTTCAGAATCAGACAGAAATTCCTGGTTCTTTGGTCTTTTTTTTTTTTTTCCAGACCATTAGATCATACCTCTGTAGATAGGTAGTTAATAGATTAGCATTAGTTTGAGACGGATCTGAGCAAAAAGTGCTACAGGTGTCTCTTAGTAGCTAGTTGGAGAGAAATTTCTTGCCAAAAGCTTGTTCTGTGAATATCTTTGGAAAACTGCTTAATTTCAACAATTTGTTCAATCCAGTTATTTGATCATTCTTCAGAAGGGATTTTTCAACATTAAGTGCTAGGGTTAAAGGACAGAAAAAAGCATGTTTAGCTGCGAATTGGTACAAAGCATAAAGGCACTGCAGGAGTTTTGTTATGAGGTTAAATACATAGATTCACTGGGTTTTTAAGCTCATTGTGCCCAGTAATCAAATGGCTGTTCTGGCATTAAAAAACAATCTTAGTTATGCTAAGTACCTGCTTTATGTTAGTTTTTAGTAGTCCAATGGCAATAATCTTGTGTACTTAGAGCAGCATTATAACTTGTGGAGCAGTTCTGTTTCAGAAAAACAGAGAATATTTTGAAAGTGCAGTGGTTTCTCCACTTTTAAAGTGGAAGCATACATATAGTTACATACCCAATTTTTCCAGGTCTTTTTTCATAGAACTCCATCAGAGCAAGACAACACATCTCATTTGCGCTTGCTTAATTTCATCCTACAGACCTTTTTCTGAAAATATTAGGCAAATGTTACAAATATTTTCAGAGGCATTCAAAATTTCCGTATTTGTAGCTATACCATATTTGCTAGTAGTGTTTTCACAGTTATCCAGGAAGCAGCTAATTTTACTATCTCAGAATGCAGAACAGACAGGAATCAGGCAGCTAATATGTGAGTATTTGAATAGTTGTGGGAACTGTGTGCTTAAGTAATGTATGTGCATCTATTTGCATATTTGAAAGTGCTAATGTCCTAGTGAATATAGCTCTAAGGGAGAAAATTAATGTGAAGGAATTACACTGGTGCAGACTCTGCAGTCTGTACAGGATGTCCTGAGTACAGGCAGGTTTCTAATGAGGGGAATGGGAAATGGAAAGGTAAGAAATTGCCTAAGAAAGAGTGATGAACCTAAAATCTTAAATTAAGTGACATAATAAAAAAACCTAGACTCTTTAAGTATTTTTTTAGCTTTCTGAAATTCTCAAGTGTTCAGTATTCTGGTTTCATTTTTACTCCTTCATTCCCTTTCCTGCTCTTCCCCTTGAGTGAAAAAAACAATAAAGCTACTTCAATATCATGAGGCATCTTATCTATGTCCTCCTAGCACTGTCCCAAAGAATGACCAGAATTAAAGGTAGTTTTAGATCATGAGCACATTTTACTAATACAGAATAAAATTGACTCAGATTATCTTCCCAGTACTTTGAACAGAATTAAGGTGGTTTGAAAAATACAACTTAACTGCATACTTAACAAACTTTGTTCTGTTTCTGAAAAATAAGGTCTCTGCGTAGTATTTCCAGGCTGTTTAACATTTTTTATGAGGAAGGTCATTTTTTTAAGGGTTTCATGTGTGAAATAACTGAAACAATCTTGTTGGTATGGAGGACTGAAGGGCTAATCATGTTTCACATTGATTTAGCAAAAACTTTTGTGAGTGGAGATTTCCTTTTTTAAGGAAGCAGTGCTTTGTTAGATGTATGTCTCAGTGAGTTGTGCTGTTCCTCAGAAACAAAATAATAAAACTGAGTTTGCAGCCAGGCCACAATAGCTCTGCCCATCCATTTATAAATGTGAGGAGGAGAGGCCAAAACATTAGTTTTCCTTCTCTGCAAAGGGTCTTGCATCAATGGCAAAGGATTATTTGTGGTCATAAAAGTTACCACACCTCATTACAGCAAAACCTAAAGTGCAACTACTGATGATCCAGGAAAGGCAGGTGGGTCAGAGGCAGACTTGTGGGTGAAGATTATTGTGTACAGTTCCAGAAGTGTAGCCCTGCTTCTTAAAGCCACCAATTATACCTTGTATAAAACAATTCCTTGCTGTGACATTGCTGACATAAAGCCGCCAGTATGGATACTACGCAGACAGGCATTTGTAAATGCCCTGATGGGTCTGTAAATGTCTGTGGGCCCACTGGAAGCAACATAGACTGGGGGAACAAATATGCCATTTGCACCCAGTGGAGATAGCTCAGGGCGGCAGTGTCAGAGTGGGGAAACAGGGGGGACACAATGTCCATGTCTGCCTTACCAAATTGTGGAATTCCTGCAAATTACAGTTCACATTCACTGAAACTTTGTATCTCTCTTTCCACGAATTGCTGTAAAGCAAATCTATTTGCCTTTCTTAAAAGAGTTTTATGTAGTGGCTGTATATATCTTTTCAGATTAAATGCATAATAAAGGCTGCTGATGCTTTTATTTTGCAGGTTGACATCTAATTTTGCATCTATAAAGATAAGAAATGTCAGACCTCTTTTCTGCACTCTGTGGTTGTGCATGGTATCATTCACATGCTTTTTCTGCTTAGGAATGGAAGCATAAAATGCTGGGCAGAATTTCTCACCCAAAGTGTTTCATAAATTTAGGATATTTGAAAGGAGCAAGAGGAGGCATGCTGAATTTTCTCATTTTCATGCATTAGAAGATGATTTTGAGATCTTTCAGTTACCAACAGCAAAGGTTGGGTCTTCTGTGTTTCATAAACTCTAATCAGAGTCAGCTGATTGCACCCAGTTTGGGTTTGCAGAAGTATGGCCATGTGACTGTAAAAATACACTTGCTGCTTTTTCTTTCTGTGTCACAAGCAGGGCCTGGTCTTTGAGGCTGTTGTTTTAAAAACAGGAAGACTTCTTTAACTCTGTCCAAAATGTGAATCAGAGGGAAGATGCATGTAATGCCAATCTGCCATGCTTCCTTTTTGGTTGGTCTGAACATTCTGCCTGAGGGATGATGGGATCTAAACTACAGCTTTTACAAAGCCTCTGAAATTTGACCTATGAAGTGAGATAATCTCTTGATGATGTGTCACTTGTGACTTAAACAGCATCCAAGAGACGCTGTGTTTATGCAACATCTCATTTAAAAGGCATCTTATTTTCATGAAGTCTTGCTGGTGATTTGGGCGGGTAAGAGCACATTTTTACTGACTGCTTCCATCTAGTTAAGAAACATAGCATAACCTTCCCTGGACCCCAGCTTCACAGACATTACATTAAGCTGGTTGGTGCTAACCAGGCAATTACTTTACATTTCACTCCAGCCATGTTGAAACAAAGCCAGTCCTGGAATTCATACCAGAAAATATTTGAAAATTATACCACTTTGGTGTGTATTTTTCCTCCACCCACTAAAACAAATGAAACTAGCAAACCTGCTTCACTTCTTGCACAGCCTCTCCTTCTCTCTCAACTTCCCTGTGCATCTGCATATCTCTCCCTCCCCCATGTCTAAAGGTACCACTACCCTTCAGGGCACACATTGGGAATATATATTTTTTTCTTCATTACGTTTAAAAGCTACTGCTTTAGCAAAAACAGCTTTTGAGCCGTTGCAACATGAGAACAGCTGTAGCAGTGAGATGAGAAATGGTCCTAATATAGAGAGATTTTGGGGGCTGCATCGCTGAGTTGGAAATGCCATCCATAGAATATCCCCCTAGTGCTAAAACCCATCGAAATAGATTGGAATGACTTCTTGGATTCTTTATTATTTTTAATGACTTGTTGTGTTATATCCAAAGGAAGTTGGAGAAGGCTGTTCACTCCTGAACTTAGCTGCAAATGCTCTTGTGTGCATTTAGTCCAGCTCTGCATGCAGAAGAGGAGATGGAAAGAGAGGGTATCTTTGTACTAGCAAGGGGGGGTGGTTTTAAACTCCATGTCTCCCCAGCAAATAATATGCTTCTTTATTTTTTTTCCCCCAGCTCGGGGATTGGATCATATTGCTGAGAACATTCTGTCATACCTGGATGCCAAATCGTTGTGTGCTGCTGAGCTGGTGTGCAAGGAGTGGTACCGGGTGACGTCAGATGGCATGCTGTGGAAGAAGCTCATCGAGAGAATGGTCAGGACAGACTCCCTGTGGAGGGGCTTGTCAGAGAGGAGAGGATGGTGAGGAAACTGCATCTTCAACTCTTTTGCCCCTGTTCAGAACAGTAGGTGCTGTGTTTCAAACCATGTTTGAAGGGGGTTATTTAGTACCCTGAAACATCATGTGGTTCCAAACCTGGCAGTTGCTTAAATTAAAATCTGGGGGCTAGGGCATCATTTGGCTATGCAAGGCAATGTGGGGGCTTTTTCCTCACCTTCCTCATTTGATCGTGCTCTTCTCCCACTGTGACAAGTGTGATATACAGACTGAGATTTTTACACCCAGCTGTCATTTGGTTCAAATTAAGAAGCTGTGTACACCCCAGGGGAACACTAAACTGGTCAGCAGTTCAGAGCAGAAGAGCTTTTTTAGGGGTGGCAGTGGGGTAGCATGTGCTGTGAATTAGTTGTTTCCTGATAGGTCTGTTTGTTTTCCTCAGCAGATTTTCACTATTAGATATCTGTTTAATTTTCAAACTGTAAGCTGTGGGTAGGTACCATGGAGAATAGGGGACTTTAGAAATGCAGATAGATTAGTTAATAATCATCTGGAATAGCCTTACTACAATGTGAGTCTCACTCAAGTTTGAAGCTGCTCTGTTAACATTTCATTAGAACTTTCCCTCTCAGGGGTACGTCCTTTAATACATAATTTTCTTTTCCAAGGGTGTCCCTAGGATGTTGGCAGAAAGAAAGCTGGGTATGAATATTTCATAAACAAGATAAAAGTGACAGCTCAGGCGTTTTGGTTGCTATTAAAAAGAAAAAGATACAGACTTGCAAACAAAAGACTTCTTTTTCATGGTTAATTTTGTTATACTGTTTGTCTCAGGCAGTAAAGGTGAGTTAATCAGGATTATGAAACATTCTTTAAAAATAAATACTATTTTGATCTGCTTCCAATAGTATATGTTTATAAAGAGTGTAAAATAAACACAAGCATGGCAGTGGTAACTTCTGCATTCCTTTTAGTACCTTGTTCTCTCCAGGACTTCTATTTTTGTTCCGTGTTGTTGAGGTCACAGTAAGTCTGAAGAGGACCTTGAGAGGTTCTTTAGTCTCTCCAGTTTCCCAAAGGCAGAAGAAGTTTTCTACTAAGCCATCCCAGATGTTTGTATAACTTGTTCTTAAGAACCTTCACTGATGGAGATTCCCCAAGCCTTGCTGGTGCAAGGAATTCCACTGTTTCACTAACTTTAGTGTTAGAAAGGTTTTCCTAAAATCTAGGCTGTATTCCTAGCTACAGTTTGACATATTATATTTAGCCTACACAAACACACAGGACAGTTTCTCATTCTCCTTTTGGCAGTAATGTTTTCCATGTTGGAAGATGTTTCCTAGATTGTGGATGCACTGACCAACCATAACCCTGTGTTGCCTTGCCCTCTTGCCATTCTTGGTTTTCTCAGTTTAGACCCTCCGCAGTTACTGTATTCCTTGGTGGATGGTGTCTTCCGCCAAAGCATTACCAGAGTTTGATGGTGTGGGAGGCATTTCTGTGCATGTCTAATGGAGGACAGTCCATTTTAGGCTTTCCAGTGGAACATGTGCTTTTTATTTTTTAACAGTGAAATAACACTTTTATAAAATCAGTTACCCTTTCTGTGGCAGTTCTACTTAGCCATTATTCCTCATCTTGCATGTTGTTGTTCCTCAGTGGTGAACTTGGCACTTGTCCTTATTGTATTAGTTTCTAGTTATTGTTTGGTATATCTCCATTTCGTCAGGAGCATTATGAAATCAATCTTGTTCTCCAAAGTGCTTGCAGCTTCTCCCACCTTTAATATCACTGGCCAGGTAATAGATGCACTCCCTTTTCTATACTTTGTCTTTAATGAAAATGTTCAGTAATGACACATCTAGAACAGACTCCATGCAAGGTCCCAGCTGCCATCCTGTTAACAGTGCACATTTGGTAAACGGTGCTTTCCAGCTATTTGTGTGTCCACCTTTGAGCGTTTCTTCTTGCTAAGTCATGAGAATAGCCTGTGAGAAGAAATTAGGTCAGGTCACCATTTGACATGGTGTATTCTGGATTGATCAGTGCTACATGTTGTTTGTCACCTTGTCGTCTGATTCACAGTGTGTTCTAGAGCTGCTAAGCTGTCAAAGTTGAGTTGGATGGTCCCTCCAGATTTTAGAAATAACATTAGCGCTGATTACGAGTCATACAGACATATGACATTTCTAAAAAACAGTTGCAAAATCCTGCTTCTCATCTCAAAGGACAGTCACACCCTGTTACTGCTCCTCCTCAAGTTTACACTATGTTGCTTTGGCAGAACAGGAGCAAGTTGTGCTCTGTCTTTCAGATTGCCCTACATTTAGCTCTAGAAGATGTAACTCCAGGCATGGTGGGGTGTTTAAGAGAGGCAGACAAGAAATATCCAGTTGTCGTGGTTCAAGCCCCGCCAGCAACTTGG